GTCTCACTCAGACCAAGGTCACTGGGGCTTCTCTGGATCTCCCCAAGAAATACCTGGTGGGCCCCAGGCTTTGAATAAACCAAGTTTTGAACTGTCTTGATCTGCCCCTTATCCACTCACAGCTTTTGCAGGGAGTGAAAACTGTGTCCAGGTGCTAGTTGCTGAAGTGTGGTCAAGGGCCCTCTATTTGATGACCTTTTTCCAGCAAGATGCATGGTCAGGGCAGCTACTGTACCAAAGGCAAGGTGCCACGAATCTGTCGCCAACTCCCAGGAGGGAACGGTAGACAATGCCAGAGGAAGACCGAGGACTACAAGAGTAATAATAGCTGTGTTCTTGATTCATATGCCAGATGTCCTCTAGTCCGTCACAGCCCTGGGAAGCAATGCCCATCATTTTTGCCATCTCTATTCTACAGAATCTCCATTCCGAGAAAAGGTCACCTGGCCAAGATAGGTGCCTGGCAAGTCAGTAGCAGAGTTCAGGTCACCAATTCAGCTCTGATGTTCACCAGACAGCCCCTTTCAGCCACTGAGCCCCTTCACAGAACTGCTTGCTGAGAACAGAAACCTAGAGGTCTGATTCTGTTGGCTGCTTTATGACCAAGAAAGCATCCCTTGCCTCAGTTTCTCCAAACTAACCTTGAAAAGGACTCGGCCTTGATTCTCCAGCAGGAACCCCTTCTCCAGCATTCTTGCTTCTTTTCCAGTTCCCAAGGGCCAGGAAGCTCCCCCCGCCACACACACACCCCTTCTCAGGACCCCAGCCACCCTACTTCCCAGCACAGAAGGTCTTCTGGGCCGGCTGGCTGAACTCCTGAGCCAAGAAGCCACTGCTTGGAAAGGAGGCAGGATGGGGGGCCCAGAGGCCCCCCTCTCCCCAGCCAGACTCCATGCAGCTGGGGCTCCGTGCTGCCTGGGGTTTAGGACAGCTCAGGGGGGTTGTAAATTTGTTTCTACTTGGATCTTCAATTTGAATTGGCTGCCAGGAGGAGTCTGTGGAACAGAGCCTGACTCCTCCCCAGCCACCATCTTGTCATAACTGTCCCTTTCAAGCTGGGCTTCATGGCTGCCTACTTAGAAAGGAGATGAGGTTTCCCAAGTCCAGGATCCCAGGAAGATAGCTGGCCAGAAATGGCTCACTCCTCCAATTCTCTGGCTGAGGAGCCTGGCACGGAGATACCCATGGAATACTCCCCACGGCAGAGTAAGGACCCTAAACAGGCCGGGTACTTGGCAGGAACCAAGTTATATGAGACTTTCCATATACTGCCCTTCCTTCTCTGTGTACCAGGACACCTGTGGCACATGTCTAGAGAGAGTATCCCTCCCAGCAGAGACTTTTAATAAATATCTCCTGGAGTTTTCAGTGCTAGACTGACAGATGGACACAGTGGCTCTGACAACGAGAGACCTGAGATTGTACCTAGATGATGGCAGAGTAGAGGAAGGAGACAACTTTCTGCTGTGGGAATGGAGAAGAGGAGGGGAAACTTGGGTTTGTGATTTGAAGAAAAAGGGGAGATAGTGTGGGAAGGTGACCCAGGAGGAAGGCTCAGTTAGGAAAGGGCAGGGGGCAAGCATTGGAGTGAGCTCTGGGGATGGAGGGAGTAGGAGTGGGCATTGGGAGAAGGTGCTGGGAAGTTGGGTGGGTGACAGGGCAGGGAGGTCCTCAGTTCCAAAGCAGTGGGGAGCCAACGCAGATTCCTGCTCAGGGGAATCACACAAAGGGGGCTGTTCAATGGGAAAGTGAACGAGGGTAGGGTTAGGTAGGGAGTCGATGGGGAAGTCAGGGAGGAGACCCCCTTAAGAGTTCCACGGCTGGGTCAGCACCACACCAGAGAAATACAGCAGGCAGATGGAGGAGCATTGGGTGGCAAGATGGGGGGCACTGGAGGGGGAGCTCCAGGTACCCTCTTACTTTCTTCCTGTTCCCCAGGGTCCCCTGCCACCGAGGACAGATGAATGGGTCCTGCTGGGGTGTATCCAAGTACATCTGGGTTGTATTTGGACCCCAGACCAGCCTCTGCCCTCAGTAGGATTACTTTGGCACTGGGATTGGGTGTGGGGAGGACCACAGGCCTCTCCTCCAACTCCCTGCCAAGCTGTAATCTTAACTCTCCAAAGGTCCCAGGGGACAGGTCACCTTGTCTAGCAGGCTTCATCACCTAAAGGCTGGTGGCCTGTCCCGTCTCCCTTCCCTTCTGGTGGGCAGGAACCCAGGGATCTTGACAAGTCACTGTGAGAGGAGGGGCAGGTCCCACAGCTCAAAAGGCTCCACCCTTTCCTCAAGACTGTGTCCTCCCCACCCCCAACTGTCCCCGACCCCCTCGTCATAGTTAGGTCAGGACAGTGACGCAGGAGTCAGGGGCCCTGGAGAGCAGAGTCTATTGGGGGTGTGTGGTCAGGACAAGGCGCACGTGCAGATGAGTGTGGACGTGTGTGCATGTGCGTGTCCTGCAGCTGGGTCCTGGGAAGGGAGCACAGCTGGGCTCTGAGTGCCAAGCCAGGACAGTAGGTTCAGGGAGGGCCCAGAGCAGGCTGGAAGTGAGCAGAGAGAAGGGGCCAGGCCCTCGATACCACCAGCCATATGCTCATCTATACCCCTTTCCTCTTTCCATGCCCCCTCTTGGATCATGTTCTCCCTCACACACCTTTACGGCTCCCTCCTTCACCTCCATCTGGTCACCTTCACCATGTGGCTTCCTGAGTGGCTTATTGACAATGGCAACCTCTTGAACCCCGCTTCTGCCTTTCTGCATTCTGGGCCTTTTCTCCTTAATTCATTTTTTTTTTTTTTTTGTATCAGGACTGAACCCAGGGGTGTTCCTGAGCCACCTCCCCAGCCCTTTTTATATTTTATTTTGAGTGAGACTTTAAGCAACTTAGTTGCTTAAAGTTGCTGAAGCTAGCCTCAAAATTGTGATCCTCCTGCCCCAGCCTCCTGAGCCACTAGGATTATAGGTGTGTACCACTGCACCCAGCTCTCCTCAATTCTTGATGTCATTTGAGATCCTTTATCTTGTATTCACTTGTGTTCCTTGTCTCCCAATTAGAAGTCAGCTTCACCAGGGCAGGCATTTTTTAAAAAATACTTTTGTTGTTGTTGTCAATAGACCTTTATTTTATTTATATGCAGTGCTAAGATTTGAACCCAGTGCCTCACACATCCTAGGCAAGTGCTCTACCACTGAGCTACAGTCCCAGCCCCAGGGCAGGCATTCTTATCTGGTCATTCACGACTCTGACTCAGGTCCCTGGCCACAAGTGAGTGTATGAACTCCACAGAAATTTCTTCAATAAGTGAATGAATGTTTCCTACTCTTTCAAACAGAATCCAAATTCCTCAGAGTGGCATTCAAGGCCCTTTACAACCTGACTCCTCGCAGGCTTCACTCTGGCCTAATGTCCCACCTCTCCCTCCTGCTCACTCCCCCAGCATACTAGCCTCCCCCTCCCCCTGGCATCTGCCATGGAAACCCTCCTCACTCTTCCAGGCTAAGCTCATAGTTGCCTCCACCTTCAGACTGCCTTAACATCTCCCAGCTGGAGGAGAGTCCACCCCTCTCCCAACCTCTTCCAGCTCAGATCTGCACACCTTGCTCTGTGTACCCAACTTATCTCACTGCAAACTCCAGGAGGTCAGAAACTCCATCTCAACACCCCTTATTGTCTTGCAAAGTATGTAGCAAATGACTGCAGAAAATAGGCTGGGGATGTGGCTCAGAGGAAGGGCACTTGCCTAGCATGCATGAGGCCCTGGGTTCAAGTTCCAACACTGTAAAACAAAACAAAGCCCCCAAAGCCACAAAGTAGGTACTGAATGCATGCATAAGAGATATCTGATATCATGAGACCTGGTAGGGAGTTAGAGAACAGATATAATGCCTGTGTTTGTAGGACTGGCTGTCTTTCTGACCTCCGAGAGAGTGAGGATGGTACTTTCATCACACCCATTTGACAGTTCAGGAGGACACAGAGGCTCAAGTATGAGGCCACTTTCTAAGATTCCAGAGGCCAACTAGCCTTGGACTCCTGCTCTAGGGAACTTGCCCCTTTGCCTCAGGGGTTCCAGAAGCCAGGAAAGCTGACCTGTAAATCCCATTCCCATCACCTCTTGGGATTAGCTCTTCCTGGTTTTTAAGAATTTTGCCACAGAGTTTAACGTATACCACAGGTCACAAACCCTGATGTCAAAGTGCAGGAGTGTCCTGAAAGTTAACTTTTTTGTGGGGGGAGGGTTCAGGGTCCTGGAAAGTGAGGAGTGTGGGGAGAAAAATCTCCAACCCTTGCTCCATCTACTCCCATTCATCCCTCCAGATGGACAACACCGACCCTTAGACCACATCCTGGGACTGTGAGAGGGAAGGCCACCCAGTTGTTTCCAGTCTTTCAGATCCAACTATTTTGCCAGAACCCAGGAACCCAGCTCCGGGACCAAGACTGGGACGCCCCCCAGGGGCAGTGTCCGGTGCCCAGCCTTCCCTATTCAGCCCTCCTCGCCCAGGTCCAGGCATTCTGTCCATCCCGCGTGTGCGCACCCCGCTGGCTCCCCTGCCGGATCCCAGGGTCGCGGGGGCAGATCCGTGCCCGCACGAGCGTCTGCAGCTCCGGACCCAGGCGTCCTGCCCCCTGCTCCGACCGGGGGTGGCCCACACCCCTGGCGACCCCTCACGCACTCAGCCTCATCCCCACCCCCACCCGCGCACGCACACATGCTGATAACAACCCCGACCCCCGGCCGGAGCCGCAGTGTCCCCGGGCCAACCCTGACCGGTCGCTGCGTCGTGCCGTCCTCCCGGACCCTGGCCAGGGCCACCACCGCGCCGGCTCTCCTTCGACCCCGGGCTCGGCGGCCGCGACGTGCCTGCACCCCCTGGACACGACCCCCTCCTCCAAGCCCGTGGGGTGACCCTGCCCCACCAGCTTCCAGGGATGAGGGCTCCTGGCGTGGGCGCCTGCCGAGCCCCTGGGCGCTGAGGGGCCCCGCCAGGCGCGGAGATGGGGGTGCGCGGTGAGTACTCGCGGGCAGGGGGAGCTGCTGTCGCCCGGGCCCCTGTTTGAGGAGGGATTTACCTTTGGGGCTATTGGCCGGGAGGTGGCTGGGTTCAAGGACCTGCGACCTGCTAAGGACCCGCGAAGGGGGAGGGGGTGGGGCAGCCTCCACGTGCATGCAGGGCTTGGGGAGCCCCTGGGAATGGCAAAAGCTCAATCTGGAGCCCAGGACAAGGTTTGGAGGTTCAGGGAGCAGAGAGGCGCTGCTCTGTGGGCGGGGAGCCAGTTGATCAGCGGATACCTGGTCCTGGAGCGACAGCCAGGCTCTGTGAGCGGGAAGCTTCTGTCGCGCCGGGATTGAAGTTTGGCCCGAGAAGTGGATGCCGGTCGCTGGGGGGTGGGGTGTGCCGGCGCAGCGGGTTTGAATGAAGGCAAGCCCGGCAGAGCCTGAGCGCCCGCGAGGCTGGGCTCTGCAGGGACTAGCTGGCCGCAGGGGCGCGGGATGACCGAACTTGCCCCTCCAAACCCACCCTCCCCTCCCCTCCCGGCCTCACGCTCAGCCTGGCTCTTCCAGAATGTCCCGCCCTGCCGCTCCTGCTGTCCCTGCTGTTTCTTCCTCTGGGTCTCCCAGTCCTGGGCACCCCTGCACGCTTCATCTGTGACAGCAGAGTCCTGGAGAGGTACATCCTGGAGGCCAAGGAGGCCGAGAATGTCACGGTGAGGCCCCCTCCCTGGCACATGCCACAGAATTGACTCTCAGGACTCCAGGGGTCTCCTTCCTGGCACTGGCACTTCCACTCCCACCCCCATAAGAATATTAAAAACTGGTGGTCCCCAAAGTATATCTGGGAGCCAGGTAAGGGGCAAAGCAAGAGTGGCCTGTGTCCTGGGGGCCCAGGACCAGAGCCCTTGGGGGTCCTGACTCCTGGGCTGTGTTTTTCAGATGGGCTGTGCAGATGGCTGCAGCCTAAGTGAGAATATCACTGTCCCAGACACCAAGGTTAACTTCTATGCCTGGAGGAGAATGGAGGTGAGTTTGTCTTTTCCTCCCTCTTGAGGGGGGTCTAATTTTGAGACCCTCATGGGGTGGAAGAGAAAACAATAGAAAAGAAATGGAGAAAGGAATATGTTCACTCATTCATTTGTCATTCGTATCCAACACACCTTGCTTACTTTCTGTTTGCTATGTTTGGTGCACGGAGCTGCTGGGAGGGAGGGGGAAGAGGTCACTTGGGCCTCCTGACTCCAAGTCTCTGTTCCCTCTAGGTTGGGCAGCAGGCTGTAGAAGTCTGGCAAGGCCTGGCCCTGCTCTCAGAAGCCATTCTGCGGAGCCAGGCCCTGCTGGCCAACTCCTCCCAGCCATCAGATACTCTCCGACTGCACATAGACAAAGCTGTCAGTGGCCTGCGCAGCCTCACCTCCCTGCTCCGAGCGATGGGAGTCCAGGTATGTAGGAGGGGGTGTGGACACTTCTCCTTGCTCTTTCTGTAAGCTGGGGAAAAGATCCTGCCAAGAAATATGGGGGGCCTTCCTCATCCCCCCACCAATGCTGTCCCTGATCCCATTTCCATCTGGGGTCCCCAGCACTACAGTAACTTCCTGTTCTCTCCTGGCAGAGGGAAGCCGTCTTGCCTCCAGATGCAGCCTCCGCTGCTCCACTCCGGACATTCACTGTTGATACTTTGTGCAAACTCTTCAGAATTTACTCCAATTTCCTCCGGGGAAAGCTGAAGCTGTATACAGGGGAGGCCTGCAGGAGGGGGGACAGGTGACCAGGTGCCTCCACTCAGGCACATCCACCAGCTCGCTCACCACCTCTGCCTGTGCCATGCCTACCCTCCACGACACCCAATCCCCTCAAGGGGCTGTTTCTTCAGTGCCAACCTGTCCCACGGACACTCCAGTGCCAGCAGTGACATCTTAGGGGCCAGAGGAACTGTCCAGAGCTTAACTCTGAGATCCAAGAATGTCACAGGAGCAGCTGAGGCCCCAGAGCAGGAAGAATTCAGACACCAGCTTCAAACTCAGGGACAGAGCTGTGTTGGGGAGACACCTAAACTCACTTGGTGCCCTGCAGAACTGTGACATCAAGACAAGCTTTGAAGGCCAATACTTCTTTTCGCACCTACTAAGCAGGGACAGGAAGGACTGGAGAATTTAGGTGGTCAGCTGTGAATCCCCTAGGTCTCATGGGGACTCCGATGACTGCAAGACATTGGACAATAGGGGTGATGAGAGTTATGACAATGGAATGGGGGCTGGCTCCTGGCTCTCATGCGGGGGGAAGGGGGTCCTAGTTTTGTGTATTTTTCAATCTCACTGGCAAGAGCTGAAACCACCAACATGGCTCTTAGACTTTTCTGTTTCCCCAGGAACCCTCTATTGCCCTGGCTCTGCTCCTATCTTGGCAGAAGGGCGTCAGATATGGGAAAACAGAGTGGAGGGGGTTGGATCCTACGTGCTGCCTCACATGGCCTGTCTGACCTCTTGACCCCACTGGGCCTAAGGCCACAAGCTCTGCCCACGCTGGTCAATAAGGAGGCCCCATTCAAGGCTGTTCCTCAGTGGGCAGCTGCCCAGCCCACCAGGACAAGCCTTTAGTGAGCCCAGGCTGCCATGGAGGAAACAAGCCAGGATGAGAACCCCCTTTGGGGACTAGTGACAGCTGCCAGCTCTGGCTCTTGGACCCTTACTATTTCCCACCTTTCCTCCATGGCCCCTTTGGGTCATGCCACATCCCTAAGCATCAGCTTCCCACCTTGGCACACAAGCCTCCACTCCCGTAAACCCAGCAGCCCAATTCTGGCCTTAGGATTGTCGCAGTAAGGCTCTGCCCTGCAATTCACAGAGGGCCTAGAGGTGCAATAGGGCCACCTTCACAGACTGCTGTCTTACTGTGCACTTGCTCTGTGACAAGTGCAACTCCAAGTGGCTCCCTTATATAACCCCTTGCAAGACCCTATAAGAAAGTGTCTGCGGCCACCTTCACTGACAGGTGGAGTAAAGTAACTTGCCCGAGGCCAAGAAAACAGGAATCCCAATCCTGCGCCCCCCCACCCAACATCTTCCTGCATCTGATTTTCCTTCCACATAATCCTGACCTGCCCCCTTACTCCCCTGGGACGGTGGTCATGGAACACACAGCCAAGGAACCTGAACTTCACTCTTGATCTTGCTCTGACAACGATTTGATTCCTTCCCAGAAGTTAATACTTCACCTGGAAGGGACCACCCAGGCACCAGCAAAAATGCCACAAAAGTGTACTGGGACCCCAATGTTAGCTATTATCCTAGATGTGGTGGCCAGTCTTTCTGCTTTTAAAACAAAACATAGGGAAGTCAGTATGCGCTCTGGCACATATGCAAAAGAGAATGTTTGACAGTATGGAGCAGAAAAAAATTACAGGCATGATGGGGAATTTGAAGGGGTTTGCTAGATTGTGGGGTGGGGGGAGAGACTGGAGGGTGGGGAAGTTGAGGTGGAGGAGTCTGCAAAAGAGCAGACCCAAAAGAACTTTCACAGTGGCCAACCTAGCTCCTGGACTACAGTGCCCTCTTCAGGCCATATTGAGAACTGTTAGAGAAACCCACAAAGGGCTCTGCTCTGCACATTTCAATACAAATTTGTATTGTGGCTTCCACATGTGACATCTGATTCTTGCCCCACTGATTTGAGTCAGTAAGGGAGAAATCTCCCTCTTAGACTGATAAAATTGGAGCTAAGAGACTTGTTCTTAAGCCCGAGGAATTCAGCTAATATATGACAGCTAGGACCTGAACATGAGATTTAGGACTCAAAACCTCAAAATCTTGGCTACCCTTTAGCCTGATTTGTTGCCTAAGGTACAGATGTCCCATGGGGTAACTGTCTCTTTTTTCTTCCCAGGATTCAGGGATACTAACCTTATTCCTTGACTTCTCTTCAAACGTCTTACTGCTTTCAATTAAAAAAAAAAAAAAAAAAGGCAGTTGAGACCCCAGCTCAATAACAACAACAAACAGTGGCCACTGAACCTGAACTTCCTGACCACTGCTGGGCTAGGTGTGGTGGGGGAGTGTGTTAGGGACAGTTAAAACACCATCCATTATTCCATGTTTATGGAATGCCTACTCTTTGCCAAACCTTTGCCCTAAGTGCTAGGAAATGACATGACACTCAGCCCGTGCCACTCATAGTCTAGTGTCCTTGGATTGGACAGTCCCCTGGTAGAAAAGACACAGAAACACTTAACTTAGACATAGCTTGCTATGTGACTGAGTGTTGAGGGGCAGGGTCTCCAGACTCCTTGGTGTCTGGAGCCACGTTAGTGAGAAGAACCTGGTGGAGTCCAGAGCCCCGGATGAGAGGCATGGGAGGGTGTTTCCAGATTTCTGAGTCTCCTAAGGTGCAGGCCAGGAGAGTGAGCTTTCTCTATACTGTGATGGAGGAGGAGGAGGAAGAAGAGGAGGTGGAGCCAGCATTAAATGTCAGATCATGACTCCATGAAATAGAGAAATACTGTCACCTGGGGAAACCAGGTTCCACTAAGTAAGTGACCAGACCAGCTGGGATCAGGAGCCTCCATCACACTGTGGTTCTGAGTCTGCACATCCTTTAATTGTTTAAGGATGTCACCTTCTGTGTAGAGTGAGCTTGGCAACTTACAAGTTGTTTTCCTGGCCCTCCTCTCATTTGCTCTCCCAACCCTATGAGGAGGGCAGGGATGGAAGAGGATCCCCATTTAGCAAAGGAAGAAACCGAAGCATAGGTTCCACTAAGGGAACAGGCCAGAAATTATAAGTCTTGGCCAGGTTGCAAGGCATTGAGAGGAAGGGTCAGGACCAGAGGCCAGGTGTTCCCTGACTCCAGCTAGGGTTCATCTTCTGTTGAAGCACAGGATCACCAGGCAGGGGGAAAGGAGAGGTGAATGGAATGGATGAACCCATCATAGTCAATGAGGCATTAGACTCTCCATCTCTGCTACTAGCTCCTCGCCTGTCTCAGGCTCCCACGCACCCTCTGAAGGGCAGAGAGGCCTCCTTCCCTCCTCTCTCTCCCTGCCAGCATGATGGCCCAACTCAGCCCCACCCCTTGCTCTCCATCTCAGCTCCAGCCTGTGACTGTGGTCCTCTCTAGCCAAGCTTTAGGATGACCAGATGTACCTGGTCACCTCAGCTTTTACTGGAACTACCTGTCTACCCATCTCCTCACAGACGGTGATCTTTGCATTAGCTAAATGAGATTTTTCAGACACTGGAATCTAAATTGAATATTAATGACAGTATTTCAAGCTGGTCAATGCTAATTCTACTAAAATTCCATCATAAAAATGTGACATTTGTGAAGGGACTATTTGCAGCAGAATAACAACTGTTTCCAAACTTATGGGGCCCTGTTGGAAAAGAAAGGGAAGGGAAGGAAATTACATGCTCCCCAAAGTCTATAGATTCCTAATTTTAAAAAAACATTGGCTGTGTTAACTTTGTCTCTTACCTGTATCTTATGGATGAAGGCACTAAGGCCGGATGTTACGTCATCTCTCTTACCCCTGAGTGAGCTAGGAGGTGACTCCCAGGGCTTTTCTACTTCTCAGCATCTCTCAGACTGTATTCCTGCAGCTATGAAGCTCTAAAGCCTGCCAGTCTCTGGAACCTTGCCCATTCCTGATTCCCCAAAATGCAGAGCCAGTGTGTCACCCCCTAACCTTTCTGTCCTTCCTTGACCTCCCACTCCCCACCTCTTGGCAAATTGGAAGCTGTGACCGTCTAGCTCTGTGGTGCCAAAGGAGGTCATCAAAAGCAGCCATCAGAGGACTTATTGCCCAACTTGGAGGGGCTGTGGATCAATGACCTTCTACTGCTCTTCCCTGGGTTAACTATTTCCTGTCCTTGTCCCTTCTGTTGACTACCTACTTTCTCCCATGGAGGGAGGGTAGATGGGGCATCTTTTATATCCTCAGCTTGAACCCAAAGGAGGTTGAGGGTGCTGTTCCTGATTGGATTACTGCATGGCCCTATTGGCATTCCAGCTGTGGCTTTCAGACCTCACTGGGGCAGAAGGGGTCTTGATTTTCCTTACCGTTATAGTTTAGATGTGATGTCCGCCAAAAGCTCATGTGTAAGACAATGCAGGAATTTTCAGAGGTGAAATGATTGGGTTATGGGACCCTTAATCTAATCAGTGCATTAATCCACAGACCCAGATTAACTGAGTGGTAACTGTGGGCAGGAAAGTTGCGACTGGAGGAAATAGGCCATAGGGGGCATGACTTTGAGGTTTAGACTTTGTCCCTGGTGCACGGAGCTTGCTTTCTGTTTCCTGGTTGCCAAGTCCTGACTGCTTTAGCCATAATGTTCTGCCTCACCTCAGGCCTAGAACTATGGAGTCACCTATCCATGAACTGAGACCTCTGAAACCATGAGCCCTGAATAATAAACTTTCCCTCTTCTTTGTTGTTCTTGTCAGGTCCTGTAGTCACAGCGATTAAAAAAAAAAAACAAACCCATGGGGCTGGGGATGTAGCTCAAGTGGTAGTGCACTCGCCTAGCATGCGTGAGGCACTGGGTTCGATTCTCAGCACCACATAAAAATAAAATAAAGATATTAAAAAAAAACCCACAAAACTAGACACAGGGTACAAGACCACATAGTCCCCTCCCTGACAGCTCAGGGGAATGGCTAGAATGAGTGTCTTTGTCTCTTTTCCAAGGCAAAGACCAAGCACCCTGAGCCTAGCTTTGATGCTACAAGTGTTCGGGGGCTGCCTCAGGAATACCTGGGGGGGGTGGGTAT